TCTGGCTCAGGCTGGTCTGAAACTCCTGAGCTCAGGTGATCCACCTGCCTTGGCCTCCCACAGTACTTGGATTATAGGTGTGAGCCACCGTGCCTGGCCCCTGCTGGAACTTTGAGTGGGATTATTATGAAAATTGATATGCCAGTTATTCTAATTGCATTTCAATGTCCCATTCCTACAGCAATAACATATTCAGTGTGGAAAGCTGTCCAATTTCTGGAGTAAAAACACAGTGGTACTGATTAGTAACAGACTACTCCTTTTCTGTCTGTGTCATTTTCTTGCTAAATTTCTCTCAAATTTAGTCCCTCAAAGGGACAGCTTTTCCCTTTAGGTTTCTTTTTACCTTCTATCTGAGTCCCTTTAGGTGGGCTTAATCTTTTTAATTTTTAGATGAAAAACTCCATTCATTATTTCTGGGGTTTTTTTTTGTTTGTTTTTTTGAGATAGTCTCAAGCTGTTTGCCCTGGATAGAGTGCTGTGGTGTCATAGCTCACAGCAACCTCCAACTCCTGGGCTCAAGTGATTCTCCTGCCTCAGTTTTTCTATTTTTAGTAGAAACAGGGTCTTGCTTTTGCTGAGTTTGGTCTCAAACTCATGAGCTCAAGCAATCCACTCCCAGAGGGCTAGGATTACACGTGTGAGCCACTCTGCCTGCCACTCTCCATTTATTATTTTACTATAAGAAATTGGTTTACTCCTTAAACATGGGCTCCTAATTTAAGTGTTTCCAAGCGTCTTATTCCCTTTAGGCTTTATTATCTCTAGCGATCCTTCTATTTCTTTTTAGTCACCACATTGTACCAATCTCTCCCATTCCTCACTAAGTTGACTCTTCTCATCCTGCTCACATACTCTGTCCAATCTCCTAATACTTAATTGACAAAAAAGGGGCCATCTGAATTCTCTTATTTTTTCCTTCTTCCACCTCAGACATTTGTAGAAACTGAGTCCATAAATTGTTTCTTCTATTTCATTCATATTTTGAACCTTTTCTTCTCTGTTGTATCATTGCTCTAAGTCTAATCTTCCTCTAAAAATATTCCCTAGCTCTGTCTGTTCAAGTCATTGTCATAGACCTCACCTTCCATCACTAAACTGCTTGAAAATAATGGCTTATGCCCACTGACATTACATTCTCCCTGCTCATCATGTATTGTCTTTATTTAGAAATATTTTAAGCAAAGAACAGATATTGTACGACATGATCTAAAGCCTCTGTTTATCAAAATTGCTGCATACTATAATATGAATGGCACTGTGTGGAACTGTGCAACAACACAGCCTGCACAGTTGTATGTGTGTAGCTGTACTGGATCCTGTTCTGCGGCTTTTCTCCCCAGAGACGATCACTTTCTGAGCTTGCTATTCATCATTACCATTTCCATTCTACTTTTACTGCCCATGAATGTGTTCATAAGCCATATGGTATTCCCTTACATATTTTAAATTTTTATATCAATTTATTAAAGTATTCTAATTTTATAATTTTTTTCCTCATTTGGATATTTATTCCCATTGAAATGTGGCCTGGTAAAAGTATTACAAGAAGTGGGGATATCAGAAATTTGGGGAGAAGAAATGCTTGAAATAGTTATTACTAAGAATGCAGGGTGAATTTAACAGAGAAACTGTAGGAATAATCAATAATGCTGGTGATTAGAGGTTGGTGATCATGAATCTATAGTGTTATCCATATGCCTGTGAATTGTGTGAATTCTCTCCACTACACAGAAGCAGTCAGAGATAAAGTAGATAATTTTGTCTTTTTCCCCCTCAGAGAAGGAGGGTTGCTTGATTGGTGTGAAAAAAAAGATGGAGGGACAGTTTAGGATACTGGTATAAAATTATTGAATTAATAATTCAATAATTATTAAATTATTATCAATTGTTTCTTGAATTAAAAATCTAAGGTGGATAAAGAGTAGAAAATATAAATAGAGCAGATGAATTGAAATAAGAAATCAGAGAAAATAATGGACTGAAGATCACAGTAGGTAGAAGAGTAACTGGAGTGAAAGTAGGGAAATACCCTTGAGTTACTGATTTTAGAAGCAGAGGAGTTAAGAATGCTGACAAGTCGGTTCCCCACCCAACAGAGGGAATGAGTAGGTAAGGCAGAATGGCATAGAGAGTTATGACCTGAATCAGAGAGGTCAGGTGTTGGATTGTTCATCCATATAAAAGCCGAATTATCCAATATGATGGCAAAGACTCTACACATAAATGAAGACTGAACCAGATGTCAGCGTCATCTTCTAGGGAGGAAATGACTTGAGACAGCAGGTGGTGGTATAGTTGAATGGCTTGGACTTCATGGGAACAGAGTTTTTTCTAGAGAGTTCTGCTAGAGTGTTCTGGGAGTGCTAACAGAGAACACAGTACCCTCCACAATTGTCAACTCTGGACACAGAAGAGTGTGAGAATAAAATCACCTGGCAAATGGGAGAGTCAGGAAAAAATACCCCCAAATACCCAATTCTCATTGAGCTATAATCTAGCATTAGTAAAGTGTTCACTCGAAATGTTTGATATTTATAAATAAACAGTGTGGAAAAAAACTTAAATGACTGAACATACAAAGTAGTAGTATTCATATTGTTAGATTTTCTAAGTACGGATCACTGTTTTGAGAGGTATAGATGTATATGACAGTTTAAATATATGTCTCTTTGCAAACATGGCCAAAAATGTTAAAACTCATTACACTTCTCAATGTCCCTTATACAAAAGTCCCAGACAGAAGCACTCCTCTGATTAAATGTCAGAAAAACAATGATTTCTCTAGATTAACATATGCATCACTTACTTTTATCAGAGAATGAGAGAATTTTAATATGCTACCCTTTGCACATAAACTATTTTGTAGATAAGTTTCCTAATATTTTTCCCAGTTAGCACAGAGCCTGATATATGATATTTGATTAATAACCATAATTATTATATCGTTTTAGTAGAAAAAGTACAAGAGTTGGAACCCTACAGATTTGGGTCAAAGTACTGTTTCTGCTGTGTATTAGCTCTTGACCTTGGGCAATTTTCTTTCCTTCTTTGTAAAACAGTGTTTTAAAAATACCTTATTTCTCAGTGTTGTTATTAATATGAGGTTTAAATGAAACTTTGTAAGTGTAAGGCACTTAGTCCTATGACTGCCACAGAGTAGAAACTCAAAAAATGTTAACTGTTATTATTTATCATTATTTATTTTAGATATCTAATCTGTATATGATACTTTTATTTTTTAAAGTATTGAGAAAAGTGAAGTCACATTGTGAAACGGCTGGATTAAAAGAGAATGAAGGTTTTAGTGAGAAAAATAACTGTTTAAAATCTAGGTTTCTATAGACATGTATTGAAGATTTTTAGATTACAGTCTTTTCATTTATTTAGCTTTTCATCTGTTAATGTGGCCTATGTCCAGTCAATTCAAGAAAAGTCTGGGTGACTACTAAATGCCAAGCACTGCCAGACCTGGGGATAATGATGGATTACAAAAATGTTCCCTGTCCTTAAAAGTTCATGGTCTAATTTAAGACTTTGAATAATAAAATTTAAACTTTCAGCTGAGTAGCTAAGGGCGCCAGCCACATACACCAGAGTTGGCAGGTTCTAATCCAGCCTGGGCCCGCCAAACAAAATGACAACTGCAACCAAAAAACAGCCAATGCGTTGTGGCAGGCAACTGTAGTCCCAGCTACTGGGGAGGCTGAGGCAAGAGAATCGCTGAAGCCCAAGAGCTGGAGGTTGCTGTGAGCTGGGATGCCATGGCGCTCTACTGAGGAGGACAAAGCGAGACTCTGTCTCAAAAAAAAAAAAATTAATAAATAAAATTTAAACTTTTCCTTTATATATTAACATTTATTCATACTTTTGGAAAAAGAGAGTTGCTTTTCTGAACGCCTTCTGCGCCACTCCTAACTGTTTCTCACAGGCAACTAATTCCTACTTGTAGGAAAATGGACGAGCTGTTAGTCCATTCTCTCAGAGGAAGAAAGCAGCTTGGTGAGGAGCTAGCCCGCTACGATGGGCAATGGTATTTACGGAAAATTAATTTTCTTTCTTTTTTTTTTGCAGTTTTTGGCCAGGGCTGGGTTTAAACCCATCACCTCCAGCATATGGGACTGGCACCCTACTCCTTTGAGCCACAGGAACCGCTGGACATTCAGCGTCTTATTTCTTTTTGGTAGAGACAGGGTCTCACTTTATTGCCCTCGGTAGAGTGCTGTGGCATCTCACAGCTCACAGCAACCTCCAAATCCTGGGCCTAAGCGATCCTCTTGCCTCAGCCTACTGAGTAGCTGGGACTACAAGCACCCGCCACAACGCCCGGCCATTTTTTGGGTTGCAGTTTGGCAGGGGCTGGGTTTGAACCCACCACCCCTGGCATATGGGGCCAGCGCCCTACTCCCTGAGTCACAGGCACCACCCCCAGAAAATTAATTTTCAAAAAGTTTTAAGGCAATAGTAAAATTTTTTTCTCTATGTGAAAACAAATATACATAGCAGATAAAAGCAGAGCCCTTTTGGAAAGAAAATGGGGGAATGAGGTGGATCTATTATCAGCTTATAGCAATTCAATTTAACCAACATTTTTTAGAAAATAAAGGAATATGTAGTACTATATGTAGTCATGTGTTTAGAATAATTCAGTCAATATTTGTCATTATGCTTCCCTTGCCAGAAAGCTTGATTACAACAGTAATGACATAATCACACGGGGCAAGAATCAGCTCCTGTTCCTTGTCCTCTCTCATGGGAAAAAAACGGAAGCTGGGAAAATTTTCTAATTTTAGTTGAAAAAAGACTGGGTCACTCTCTTAAAATCTTTGGCTACTAGACAAGAAAAAGTTACCATGTTAAAGGCGATGAGTTATTTCCATGAAGCTAAGTTACTTAACATTAATGTCTACAGTGTCTATCGCCACCTTTCCAAGGACAATTTCACACGAATTTTAAAATTTGTACATTTTATCTAAACAAGGTTATGAATTTATTCTTACCAGCAGCCTTCTCATTTTGATGCAGGATATTATGTCCTCTTTTCCACAAAGGGATTGATTCTTCTTCAGTAGTTTTAAGAGTCACAGACTGACAACTTTCTTCAGCAGGATGCTGAATATGGGTGCAATATACTGTCCCATTTTGCTGGGCGACCGTTTGAGTGCCATTTGGATAATTTATGTTTGTTAAAGTTTGGCATTCAGAAAAACAGTAAGATGGTAGAGATGGCATCACAGTGACCAGGTCAGAACAAGCACTTGAGAGTGGAGGACTACTTTCTTGATTCCTCTGACTGAAACTGTACTCCATTGGAAACGTGTGTTTTGAATTTAAAAAGTCATGTGTACTAATGTTTTGAGAATTTTCAGGTATTACTGATTGACAATGAGACACTTGCATTGTATTTTTACTACTACTATTCGATGTAGATTTAGGAGGAAGCTGTGGCATACTTGCTTTGCTCTGCGTTCGTATAAATGCATTGACTCTGCTTGCAGACTGTGGACGGACGACAGCGCCTCTCCTGTTTTTATACACATAGCCAGACTGGACTTTTGCAGATCCTGTTCTTATAATTACTTTTGCTCCACCTTTTTGTGGGTTACCTTTCTGAGTTTTAGAATCACCTTTATGTACAGGGATCTTACTTTCCTCATTCTGGGGGGCTGGCCAGGCTTGTTTAGCAAAGTTACAACCTGAAGGTACAGAACAGTTCAAAGGGTCATGGTCTGTTCTGGATCCTCCTAAAGCAGTGACATTTTCAGAGGAAGCATCATCCTCAGACTTCTTTCTATCAGCAGAATTTCCAGCACTAGCAGGAACGTTAATTATGCTGCTGCCAGCACCACTTTTAATGTGGACTTGTTGAGACCACTGTCGAGTTATTCCTGTTTTATTCTTCAGTGAATGACAGTCTTCCTCATTGTTTTTTATATCACTAGCTTCATCAAACCACCTCAGTTTTTTAATAGTCTTTATGATTTCTATACTTTTTTCTTTCTCCTTTTTTAACTCAATACTATCTCTGATAGCTGCTGCTTTTTGATTTCCAAAATTCAAGCCTTGATTAACAATTAGTGCCTTAAGATAATCATGTTCATATTTAGACTCTTTCTTTAAAATACCTTTAAGAAACCTCACACCATTTTGCTCATGCATGTTGTGTTTTATCTTCTGGTGCTGGCTAACTAAGTCATAATTAGGAATCATATTAGACAATGATGTTGATGTTTGTTTTTCATCTTTGGAGTCAGTATTGTGAGGTATGTACGCAGTTTGAAAACTGTCTGAAAATAAAGGCAACTCTCCCTTATTACAATTAAGATATTTTATTTTTTCATCTGTGAATTCATCTACCTTATCAGAACACTGTATTGGGTTGACTTCCTTTATATATATACTATTCTTTGCTAAAGTTCTAGCCGATTGCATATTAGATGGCAAAACTAAAGGCGTTGCCATTGGTATGCATGAGGTAGGAACAGAAGTAGTTCTATTTTTTTGAGTTAATTCAGAATATTTCTCTTGGTCCAAAAATGTAGCCATTTCCTGGGGTGCAGAATCTGAAGTGCTACAGGCTTTGCTGAATTTAAATGCTGGGTTCTGAGCAACTAATGGCCTCTCTTTTTTGAATGCTTCAGAAGTGGAGTCAGTTGTCCTTATAGTGCTAGTTTCAGAGGTCTTTTCACTTTTTTTATCTAGTACAAATATGGTCGGACAACGTACAAAGGCTTCTGGATTATTAGCAGTATTTGAGGCTTTTTCCATAGTTCTACTCAAATTAGATTGATTTTGTTCTTTACTACTAAAATATTCCCATGAAGGTAGAACACTGGATTTACTTAAAATATCTGAGAAAGGTGTGACAGTCCGAGTATCTGGAGCATCTAAATTCGTAAGCCAATTATTTATATGTTGAGTTTTAGAGAATGACAGCTTATCTTCATCATGGCAGCTTAGATTAGTTGATTGCAAATTTGCTGATTTGAGGGAAGTGGTATTCTGCTGAATTGATATAGACGGCTCCTTATGAAGTGTTAAATATATTTCTTCATGCTGTCCAGCCTCAAGACTGTCTATACTTGAGAGTGTTTCAGAATTGGTTATCTGGTTAATGTCATCACAAAATTTCTGGAAAACAAAGAACGTTGCTTTATTGCTTTATAGCTTAGAGTGCCAAAATTAATGATTCAACATGCTATTTGTTATTAAAGCCCAGTTCTTCTCGGCTTATGAAATAGAATAATATGAGTACAACAGTATAGGTATATAAATAATCCTCTGGGTAAAAAAAGAGGCCAGTAACAAAGACAGCGAAGTATACATGTTTTAATTTTAAGTCCCAGCTAGAATAAGTACCTACTTTTCTAGCCACAGCTATATATAATAATTTTGTTATTCCTGTTTCATTCAGAGCATAACATTTCTTGAAGGTTTCAGAAGAGTAACTAACATACTGAGAAATGTAATAGTTACTTACTAATTGTATTTTTCCCTGAAACCTTTCCTGCATCTAAATGAGGCTCCTAACAGTTCTGAGATCCCAAGGTGAGCTTCCTTTAGGTAGGAGCTACAACTTTTTTATTTTGAGACAGCATCTCTTTCTGTCATTTGAGTGAGAGTGTTGTGGTATCATCATAGGTCACCGCAGTCTCAAACTCCTAAGCTCAAGTGATCCTTCTTCTTTAGCCTCCTAAGTAGCTGGATTACAGGAGTGAGCCACCATTCCCAGCTAATTTTTCTATTTTTTGCAGAGACAGGATCTCACTCTTGCTTAGGCTGGTCTCAAACTCCTGGCCTCAAGTGATGCTCCTGCCTCAGCCTCCCAAAGTGCTAGAATTACAGGTGTGAGCTACTGTGTCTGGCTAGGCTACATCTTTTTATAAAAGTTAGTTTTATGGTCTATAGTGAGATTTAGTTTAGTAAGTAACCTTAAGGTTTAGTTTAGTAGGTAACCCTTTCTAGAGGATTGCTTGAGCCTAGGAGTTTGAGGTTGCTGTTTCTAGTTGCCTGTTAGAATACATAAGGATGTCTGAAGTCATATGTATGACAACTGTCTTGAGAGGACATTCAAAATAAAAGAAAATATTCCTAGCACTTTGGGAGGCTAGTGAGGCTGTGTCTCAAAACAAACAAACAAACAAACAAAAAAACCCCAAAACAATAATAAAAACAAAAGAAAGAAAATATATGCCTATGTTCTGCTAATTTAATACTTGAATAGGGCTCATATATTGGTATTATTATTTAAATTTTCCAGGTATTCAAGGAGGAATTTAAGGTCAACTATTGACTTTAATGACTCTTTAAAAAAAAACACACAATAATAATTTCCATTAATGTGACATTCTTATCAGCGTTTCACTAAAGTTTCCATGAAATTTATCAGTTTTTTTTTTTTTTTTTTTTTAGACAGTCTCACTCTATGGCCCTGGGTAGAGTGCCATCGCGTCATAGCTCACAGCAACTTAAAACTCTTGGGTTCAGGGATTCTTTTGCCTTAGCCTCCTGAGTAGCTGGGAATACAGGTGCCTGCCAAAAAGTCCAGCTAGTTTTTCTATTTTTGGTAGAGATGGTTTCTTATTCTTGCTCTGGCTGGTCTCCAGCTGTTGAGCTCAGGCAATCCACCTGTCTTGGCCTCGCAGAATGTGAGAATTAAAGGCATGAGCCACCGTCCCTGGCCAATCAGTCTTTAATAAAATTTTACGATCACTTCAAAGTTTGCTAAATGTTTTGAAATATTTCTATTTTTTTCACACATACCTAGGATGTATTAATCTATATCACATATATAGAAAGATTTAAAGAAGACATTAAAATTATAAATCTAGTCAAAAAGTTGAATGAATTCAAAGAAAACTAGTATCCCTTAAGATTTATCACAAATTTTAGATATTTAAATATTATATTAGACATATATATAGACAATATGTATGTCTATATATATTGTATTTTGAGACACAGTCTTAATCTGTTGCCTTGAGTTGAGTGCTGTGGCGTAATCAGAACTCACAGCAACCTCAAACTCCTAGGCTCAAGCAATCCTCTTGCCTTAGCCTCCTAGTAGCTTGGATTATAGGTACCTGCATGAGGCTGTGCTAATTTTCTAATGTTAGTAGAGACAAGGTCTGGCTCTTGCTCAGGCTGATCTCCTGAGCTCAAGTGCTACACCTTGCTTGGCCTCCCAGAGTGCTAGGATTACAGGCATGAGCCACCATGCCTGGCCAGAGAATTTTATATTTTTAGCATTTACCCTTTATTTATAACATTCTTGGCACTCTTAAAGTTACTCAACCCAATTAGAGAACAGAACAAAGCACATCTACTTCAATGCCTATTTTTGGAACTGGGTTATTTTAATTGATATTGGTAAGAAGACCAGGCCTGGAGGGCTTCCTTTGAGATTGCACCTAATGAGACAAATCTGGGTCGAAGGTCTTTCTAGATGTAAGTATGATGTCCACAACTCTGACATTTCTGTTTGTATAAGTCTGTAATTGCCTCATCTTCCAAAGCACCTCAAAGTAAGTTTGGTAGGTGGGGCGTGGTAGCTCATGCTTGTAAACCTAGCACCCTGGGAGGCTAAGGAAGTAGATTGCTGAGCTCAGGAGTTCAGGACCAGCCTGAGCCAGAGCAAGACCCTGTCTCCAAAACTGGCTGGATGTTGTGGTGGGGCCTGTAGTCCTAGCTACTTGGGAGGCTGAGGCAAAAGGATTGCTTGAGCCCAAGAGTTTGAGGTTGCTGTGAGCTTTGATGCCACGGCATCCCACCAAGGGCAACAAAGTGAAACTCTGTCTCAAAAAAAAAATTTAGTAATTTTTGTTTTCATGAACTCTCCTTTTTAATATATTTGAGTGTTGACATTTTTAGTATTATGTTAGTGCATGTCTAGGTTTCATAGTCTTCTTTAAGAGACTGTTAAGTTTTGTTTTGTTTTTGGATAGGCGGCTTGACTCCTTGTGGAGTTTTTTTAGGCTTATCTAGAGAATGTGTCTAGGTAGAAAGCCCAGGTATTCATAAGGCTTACTTCATTTGTTTCCCTTTTTCAAAATCACATTACATACTGCATGTTGTCTGATGTATAAACAGACTTGTTTTATATATTTTATTCAGTCTTACAGTTGTTTATGGCAGGAAGGCATAGTATCACAGCTTTCAGAAAACTGCTTGTTTTCTTAATCTTGCCAATTTTCATTACTTGTTGGATGAACCAGGCCACAGTTAAGAATTTAATCTTGATATTGGCCTATTGTAAATCCTATAAGTATATATAATTATTCATTAAAATTACATGGATATGTAAGAAAATCAGTAGACATCTGTATTCATTTTGGAAAAAATAACAAAGTAAATGTTCTAATAGGGATAACAGATGACCAAACAGTGTGTCTAGCTAATTCTGCCGTGTTTCCATTAGAAGCCTAATATCTACATGTATTATAGTTTTCAGGTTGCTTTTTATAATATAATCTAACAACAATACTTTTATTATACTGTACTTTCAAAGGTAAGGAAAAAACTAAAAAATTATTTCTAAAATATCTATAATATCTATGAATTTATGTTGATTCATCTATAGTCTTTTATGGCCTACTCTTGGCTAATGACATACATTTCTTTAGTGGAGAACACATTAGTAGTAGGAGTTAAAATATGAATACCATATTTACAGTTTCATACTTGCAAACTGCTTAGATGCTGATCTTCTAGGAGTCTCTGAGTCTCCTCCAGTTTAAGCTGGTATACATTTTTATTAGTAGTTAAGTTTGCCCTGATGTTTTCCTTCATTTCTTTATTACAATTGATTTTGGATAACAGTTGTTTCTGATGGTTGTGATCATTTTTTGACAATGCTGAAGGCAAGGCAGAATCTATAGTTCTGTAAACCAGACATAAAAATGTTCAGTACATTTGAACACAGTTAACTTCTTTCAATATGTATATAAATGACACATTTGTATAAAATGTGTGTGTTTGTCCAGATAACCACATATAAGGATATTGGAGAAATATATAGACATTAGGTTAAGAATTTAAGGCAATCAATAGTAGAATAAACATGGTTGTGAGATCGTAGTCCCAATAAAGAACTCTGCCTTCATGTAGGAATGCCCAAATATTCATGGCCTTAATTATTATATCCTATTCCTCTGTCATTTGGGATAGGGGTAGAATCCTGTTGATGTGTAGAGATAGTCCTTTGTTCTTTAAGAGCATTCCTATATGGACATATACCCTTCATTCTGAGTTGATGTCATGGCTGGTAGGTATTTCGATAACCATAATAGAGTTGACTGAAGATTCAATCAGACAGAAAATATCAAAACTCTTTGTCAGAGTAGGCAAGGATTTCCTCCCTACTTAACAAGGTTTTGGAACTTGGATCTTGGTGAAAAATATACACATTTGTTTTCAGTTGTTTCAGGAATATAAACTGGAATACAAGCATGGTTTTCTTGTAACAGAAGAAATGCCTTCAATATAGAATTCACTTTTAATGTGTCAAAGTGCCACCCCAAAATTATTAGGGCATGACATCATCTTCTATAATTTTGTATCTTCTGAAAACCTATTGCATGTTTCATTTTAGTATGTAAACAAGTGAAGCAAAAAAAAAAAAAAAAACTAAGGAAGGTTTTTGGGGGAAGATACAATGAAAATTAAAATATCAAATAGCTAGCTGACTGCTGCACTGAGGTTGGTAGTGAAAATTCCAAAAGTATTTCTTCCCAATTAAATTACAATATTCCCAATTCTAATAGAATAAAAATGTTTTCAAAGGTGACACATGGCCACATGGAATATATACCTATCTCCAATACCCATATATATCTTTATTTGGACAGACTGGAACAGTCAAGGTCAATGATTACTAGATTCTTAACTATCCTCTTTGAGATCACAGGGAAATCAGGGAGAAGAAGAAAGTATTTAATATAAGTTCCTGAATATTGAGAATATGTTTCTATCTCTTCCTTTTACATTTTCCTACTCTTACATGATCCTTCCCTTTCAATCACCCTTCCCAAACAAAATATTGCTAAATCTACAAAATATCTAATAAACTCAATTTATTTACCTTTAAAGTTGTCGTCTCTCAACTTTTTCTTCTCTATTCCTTTCTTCTCTACTCCACTTTCTTCTCTTTTCTTCTCTACTTTCTTCCCCCAGTGAGGCGCATTGAAGGGATGGATAGGAATAAAAGATGGGGAGGTAGAAGTAGAGGGAGAGTGAAGCGTGGGAGGAAAGGAAGAAGAAATCATAAAGGGAGAGGAAACAGGAGAAACGGGAGAGGGAAAAGCTAAAAAAGTAGGGGGCGAACATGGAGAGGGACAAAGAGGGACAGATGAAGGAGGTAAGAATGGAGAAGCAGAAGAGGAAGTCGAAGGGGAGGAAAGAATGGGCAATGAGGACGAGGATGGTACAGAGGGGGAGGAGGATGCGGGAGCAGGTGATGAAGGCAAAGGAGGTGGAGAGTGACGGGGAGTTGGACGGGAGAGAATTGAGGCAGGCGGACGTTCTACAAAGGCCAGGGGTTCATTTGACAATGTTGTAGCTTGTGGAGTAGATTGCCAGACTGACTGAAAAGGATCCAAGCTCCCAGGACGTTCAGGCAATGGAGCGATGTAAGAATGAGTCGGGACTGGTTGATGAGGGGGATGAATGGATAATGAGGAAGGCTTCAAAACAGGGAAAGCTTCCAAAGGGTTTGGGGAAACAACCAGTTGAGCTGGAAGGGAACGCCGAACAAGGGGAGGCATTAGACTGGCTGGGGTAGAACGCTGTGCTGGAAGGAAATGTTTGGGTCTGAATGTTTTGTAAAACAACTTGTTCTGTGAGTTAGGCTCAGGAGTGGCTGATGAACTTTGAGGTGGGTGAGGCAGATGGTCAGGCAGGCTAGAAGGAACTGGGGCTGGTAGATGAGGGAAACTGTCCGAAATGCTGGAAGTGACTGGGGCTGGAGGACGAGGAAGATATTTCATTGGGTAAGTCATTAATGGGGTTGGTAAAAAGGTCTTTGTCAGAGTAGAGGGAACAGATGGGTGGATAGGCAGCACATGGGGCTGGCGTGAAGGAGAAACCATGGGGTAGCTAGGAAGAATTTGGGAACGACGGGATAGCAACTGGGCCCGTGAAGGAGACAGCTGATCAGGTAAGTGGGGATCAGGTGTGGAGACAGCTGGACAAGCAGGAATGGATCTGCACAGGTGGAAAGCAGGTGGAGAGGCAGGCAGAAAGACAGCCTTATTAAGATGGCTCTTTTGGTTTATTGGGCTTCCTTCTATGTTTCTGATTCATGTTATTCTTTTTGTCCTTAGAGTCCACGATCATCTTCCTTTGATCAATCAGTATCCTCTCCCATGGTCAGAAAAATATATGTAACTTATTCAGTTTCCCCTTTTCTCTTTCCTTGTTCTTATTTTCACTTCTCAGAAGTCTGTTAGTTATATAGATACATGAGTATGGCTGGAAAATCTGATTTAAAGTACTACAGTGGAACCTTCATAGTTGACTACTTCCCCACATTGCCCACCTCCTTAAATTGACCTGGTTTTCATACAGACTGAACATGCACGGCATGTATCAGGACAGTAGACCTAGATCCTTAGGTTGACTACCTCTGTATGTTGACCAGTTTGTTATAGTCCCTTGGGTAACTTACAGAGGTTCTACTCTAAGGAAGGGAAGTAGAGGTCAAAGAGACAAATGCTCAGCTCTGGCCAGACTTCTCGGTGTGCATGTGTTTCAGGATCTACTATCTCACCATTAATATATGGATATTGGAGATAGATATCTAACTATGCTTTATTATTAAAGTGTTTCATATAGAAGAGTATATAACCTCTTTTACTCTATACCTACCAGAAGTGTGAAGTATATTAGTTTTATAAGGATTTGTTTGTGATAGAAGGCTGGGTACTTCTTATATTTTAAATTTTAGTCCCTTGTTAATACTCTTATATTTCATTATTGCTGAAGCACCTTCTACATTCTTAAGAATTTATTCTCTGATTTTTCTTGAAACTTAAGCATTAAAGCCTTGAACTTTTTCATATGTATATTTTTTATGTTAGACTATTACCAACATCTTAAATTATTTTTTTCTACTACTAACATTTCCCACATTAGAACAATCTTTCATGAACACTAATGCACTTCTTTAGAAACTCCCTGTTCTTGGCATTACTTTATTCCTTTATACATTTTAGATTTATAGTCTATGAAAATGTATTTTTAATATGTTAATAGTTTATTAATATTTGTAGCTTAATTATACTTTCAATAAATATCAGTATTTTCAATAACCTAACACCCAATTAATATTTCAATATCTCATATTTGTGTAACATTTTATAGTTTACAAATCACTTTCATACACATAATTTAATACTGTTAGTTATCTCTGGAGATAAGTCCAACTTTTAATAAGTAAACCATAGGGTTCTCCCTATATATTGTACACATTTGTTGTTCTCCAAATATATAACATCTATGTGATATATAAACATACACACACATAGATATAGATACTAGTCATATTACAATAACATAAAAACTAGGTATTCTAATATAAAATAAAGATCACTGCTCATAAAACAAAGATGATACATATTATTTAATAATTCTAGCACAGATTTGCTGTAATCATAACTACATATTTGTTTGCTAGAGGGAAATTGAAGTTGTTTGGACAGTTGAACTCTTCTAAGATTTTAAGCATCTGTACACTGTTGAATAAGAAAAATGTCTATGATTTCATTCATGATATGAGAGATTTTTCAACTGAAAGTATGTGATTAACATAAAGGATAACAAGTGATACACAGAAAAAGAAACCTAAGAGTGAACAAGCCCTGTATTAAAAAAATGCACATTACTTCTACACCACTAGATAGTTTAGAATTTTTTTTTTGAGACAGAGTCTTAAGCTATCGCCCTGGGTAGAGTGTGATGGCATCACAGCTCACAGTAACCTCAAACTCCTGGGCTTAAGTGATTCTCTTGCCTCAGCCTCCCAAGTAGCTGGGACTATAGGTGCCTGTCACAACACCTGGCTATTTTTTGGTTGTAGTTGTCACTGTTGTCTGGCAGGCCCAGGATGGATTTGAACCCACCAGCTTCGGTGTATGTGGCTGGTGCCCTAGCTGCTGAGCTACAGGTGCCGAGCCCTAGAATTTTTTTTTATTAAATTCCCAGAATCTCCTCTGTCTGTTACCTTCTCTTTTCAGACAAGCTTTTCCACAGAGTCCTCTAAAATTATACTGCCTTCACTGCCACAACTTCAATTTGTTCCTTAACCTCCTGCTGTTTGGCTTCCACTTCTCCCACTGCAGTGTACTGCAGTGGTTATGATTAACTAATTGACTTAATAATTACAAAAACAGACACTTCTTGACAACAATCTTTCCTGACTTTGATTTTCTTGGTTTCCATATCATCGCGTTCTTCTGGTTATTCTCATACTTCTCTCCTTGTTTCTTCTTAGGCTCTTTCTTTTTTTTTTTTTTTTT